ACAATCGTATCGATACGATTTCAAACGATCATTGTTCAATTAAATTTTCAAACTTTCAAGATCAAGTATTTTTTTTTTATCTTTATTATCATTTCTAAATATATATAACAAAATCCTTGACAGAAGCCATTCCATTTTTAAAATTCGCCACATCTTTCGATGTCTGTCGCTTGTTTGATCGACGAAACGTTCGTTACAGGTTTAGATAAAGAAGCAACTTGGGCCAATTATAACTTTTAAACTAATCTAACTTCTTAAAAAAAAAAATTAAAATGCTCGGTTCAATTTTAAGAAAAGTTATTTTAAAGGATGATAAGATCGGTTTTCGGGGGTTTTGTAACAACGATGGATCATAATGACCAGCAAAAAATGTTCCCAATTTTATTTAACCTTATTTTAAAACCGAAATAGCCCCTTTATTCCCTCGGAATACTGTCACTTGCACAACTTTTTATATTCAGCAACTTTTCTAATATCTTGAGTGGGAACATCGAAAGTCTCTAAAGAAAATTACGGTGTCGCTTACACGAAAGTTGGTACTTTTATTTCGAGGATAGTTCCCCCTCGTTGATGCTCTTGCAACCGTAACAGAGGCTTCGAATCGAATAGATCATTTTAAATGATCGACGCCGAATCGAAGGGAAGATAGAAATAAATTTACCAAATTTACCCCTTCCTCGTTGAAGATCGACTTTTTACGAACGATCCAGGCAACGCATGAACGTTACAAAAGTGAAATACACACGTAAATCCTCGAACGCGTTAATATATCAACCTTTGGCAGCAGGAATTGGAATTTTCGTCAGCTGCGCTCATGAAACAGCCAACGCGCATGCAATATGCAATCTCCCTTCTGATCGTCCAAATTAATAATACAAGAGGGTTGAATCTTTTATAACTTAAAACTGGCCGCCGCCTGGTTATCCATCAACTAGCGCGCTAACTTTTTCTTCCGTAAAATCATCAGCGAACCTTTTCGAGAGGTTGGCCAAAAGCCTTTTCGATCGATGAATAAAATGAATAAAATCTCGAATTTGCACACGGTGTTTTCGACGGACACAATTAGATTTTCCACGATTTTCGGATTAAGTTACCACTCGATCTCGGTGATAGATTGGACAATGGTTTGCCCCGTATGGAAATTGTCCTTCTATCGATATTTATTGGACGCGCGCGCGTTGTTAATACGCGTGTTCGGCCGTGATTTATCGGTAATAATCGAGGGATCGGATTATACCTGCATTGTTTCTGCCACGTTCCTTTACGGAATATTACCGCGTGTATTGATTACAACCGTGTAATGTACTAGTCGTTCCAATTATGCCGATTCGTGTAAAAAACCGGTTCGAAGATCGGACAAATTCATTCGGAAATGGGCTCGTTTTGGTGCGCACCATTGCGTTAGCATAAATGATAATTGCCCTCGATAAACAGCACGCTGTTCGCCGCTATTTGAGGAATATTCCCCGNGATTATGTGTGATGTGACATCGTTATGCCATGCTTTAACGTTAATTGA